TCAAAATGGCTATTCATAAGTTCTTCAATTTCGATTGAATGCAAACAGAGAGCAAAGAACTGTTGAAAATGTGACAGATAAGACGCTGCTGAGTCCATCTTATCAGTTGTGTTTTAACATTCATTGTAAGCATGATAAATACATGCAATGTTTTCATTTCAATCGGAGTAAAATTTGCTGTTAAAGTGTTGATCGAGATTTTCCGATGTGTACTTTTCGACACATCTGTTTACTCTGTTCAGTTGAGCCAATTAGTACTTTTCATATACTTAAAATTCATTGATAATCTACACGTATGATGGCTATTTCAGATGATAACATTCTACGATCTAGTAATGAAATTAGGACTGCTGATGATGAATGCTTCAAATGAACAGTTAACGAAACAACAATCATGAAAGCACATCATTTCAGACATCAACAGTCCATCAGCTTCACAAGTCAAGCAATGGCTACACCATCCAAGCGTTCAACTTCGCAACCTCTGCAGTTACCGAGTAGTGATGATTGCAGCTTTGCGGGAATACTTTCAGATGAGAAAGGTTAATTTTCTATTAATTGTACACTTCAAATCATTGTTACCTTGAATGTACACGCACGCATCTGTTTTGCAATGAATCTGATGTGCTATCGACTGAAATTTTAGACGCAAGCCACTTGGAAGCTAATGGCAGTATGCCGTTTCACATTAATGTATTAATGCGAAGGAGAAGTTGTTTTTGAATTTTTGAACGTTCATTTTTAGGTGAACCCAGAACTAGTGGACCACTGAGTTTAACAGTTGAAGAACGAACGCAAAAGTTATCGTCGGCAGACAGTAGTGATTCGAATGGAGAGTGGAAATTGGTTGATGATAATGTATGGTCACTTATTATTGTACAGCAAATATGGCACCGACTCCATTTCGCTTAATCAAAACGAAACCACTCTGCAACATAATTCGTAGCGATGATCATCGAACTCTTATCGACAGAACCTTTTTTTTTGTAGTCAAAATATCTTATCGCCTTGACCTCGTTGCAAGGCATTTTATAGTGTCTTATTCTACCTGTTGATCTAACTGCAGAAGTACCTGTTGAGGGATAAGATGACCACATCGAATCGTATTAATACTTGAAGTGGTAGACGAATAGTTGAAAAGCGTTCTTTCTTTTAGTATCCCTCATCAAGCAGCATTCTCAATAATTGATTAAGATCAATCGAAAACATTTGAAAACGTATCACACCCAAGATGCTGTTTGTTGATGATTTACGAACTCGTTTCAGGAAACCAACACTTATTCACTGCTACTGCAGTTCAATCAAAAGCTGCAGTTTATGAATCGAAAACTGCAACAAATCGAAGCCAGTAATGCTTATCAATTTCGACTTATCTGTCGAATTTATCATCAATTCGTCAAGGTTTTACGAACTTTTTTTTTCCACTCGAAATCCAATTTTGAGGGTTGCATTTTTTTCTTACAGTTTTTTTCA